CAAGCGTGAAATGCAAGGATTTCCACAGAACCTCACGAAAGAAGCGAGATACCAGCTACCTGTTTGCGGGAATTCGAGCCTGGGAGCTCTTGGCGCCTCCTACGGGGGTCGACATTCAAAACTCGTCCTGACCAAGTGTAGTGAGTACGCGAAGACGCTCAGACATGTCATGTTCCAATACGGAGATGCATTTTTGAGAGCGGAGAGGTATCAATTATCCAAAATCAAGTGCAGCACATACCTATGGTCGGCGTCAAAAGGGAAGTAGACATGGTCCGTCAACGTGAGGCAGCACGGATCACATGCTCCAGTTCATCCTATTTTTTGGATTTTTGCACGTCGTCTCTCAATTTATTCTCTCTGAAACGCGTCCAATTCGAGGCAATCCCAATGAAATGCATTACATCTTCAAAACTGATCCATAAAATTTAAATCTGCCAAGGCCTATGACCAATTCTACATGAACATCGGCCTTTCATGGGCTTTCTTCGGAGTCGTACTGAGACATCTTGTCTTTTCCTTACACTTTAATCTGGACCCAACGCTCGCTGACAAACATGTTTCCCATGGTCTATACTTATGATAACGATCTAGACAAGCCACCTTAGATGGGCACCTATACTTAGCGATGGTAGGTAGGTTGTTAGGTGGTCGGATCTGCCAAGGAGTCTAGTCTGATTGTTCCGAATCACATATGCAGGTTGCAACCACTTCCCTTTGAAGGTACTAGGCCCTAAATTCACTTTAAATACTCCAACCATAAAGGTATAGGCGTTGCTTCCTTCTCTTGCATTTCACTAATGCCGCAGTGTCAGGTTTGAATCCTTACTCTCCCGTCGAGTATGACTCATCTTTGTGGCGTTTCTACAGTTCCCTAGTTACCCACGATCAGAAGCTCCAGTACGTCTCTGCTCTATTGGCATCTGTAGCAAGTATATCCATTATATCAAGCCCACTGCAGGCAGCAATCAGGTAACACGCGCCCATCCTTACTAATGACGTCTCAACATGTTTGCTGATCCCATCCTTGCTGTAGAGAACGTCACTTCAACGGGTCGCGAACGTGAACTATGTCCAATCAGCTCAAGAAAACAGAATTCCGGCTCAGGTCCCAGGAATCCCTATGCCTGTCCCCGAACCACCAGCGCCCAGCACATACGTTGTTGACTCCTACGTAGGCCCTACTCATTCCACACAAGCGGAACCATATCACTTCAATTACAACGGGCTCGTAGTCGTGAACTGGCACGCTCCAACTCTACCACTCGGGGATAAAGCCGCACGTCTAGGATACAATCCATCGAAGGACGCAGCGGCGATCTACATGGCCCTCAACCACTTCAATGTTGATGAAAGGGCTTGTGAGTTATCCTTCCACTTGATCAACCCATTTGGTGCTTGTGAATACCCACATCTGCTAGTAATCAGTATGCCAAGGATCGGGATACTGCAGATGGACGCTCTCGCTGAGTGTTATCTGGACTATTATGGGCAAAAGATGGTCGATCATATTGACAAAAAAATTGGAAGGATTGCTTCAGGGTGGGCATGCACAAATCCTCTCTTCAGATATGTATTAATAACTGGACCTTCAGCGAGGTACTTCATGCTCTTGCTGTTGGCCCCCTTTATTACGACATTGAGCTGCTCTATATGGATTTCACTGACCAAGTATTCCAATTGCAAGTACAGCTTTCCTTTAATTACGGCGACCTTTTCCGAGGCTAATAGACATGTGTCTTCAATGATAGTTCTAAAGAATCCATATTAACTGAGCTCATCCTGGATCGTTCCATTGACGACATTCATCGCCTTTCCGTTGAATACAAGTACAGGTATAAGGCAGATATATCGGTCAAGATTCAGGGCGACCTCAAAACTCAGTCAGCTACGAACAGTATGTCTCTCCTACTCTCACATTTTCCAAATCCGCGAAGGGACTCAACTTGCTTCAGTGTTCCTTCTTGCCTTGGATGCAAGTCGGCCCCCTGATAGCTCTCCACTTGACTTTGAGGCCGTTGAAAGGGACATTATCGATCTACATGCTGCTGTTGCGGCTAGAAGTGGAATGGAGGTAGCTTTACTCCTTTACTTCCTCTTAACCAACAACTCACATACTGTAGATTGTCTTCTTTAGTGTAATTCTCACAAGATCTCGACCTCATCTCGCTGCTGTGTACGTGATCCATATCTAATCCGGCTGATCACTTCGCTTTAGTTGACTATATTCTCCCCTTTTCGTAGGATTGATGGCTACGGCAGAAGATACCAGAGCCTCCGCAAGACGATCAAAAAGGAATTGTGCGTGTTTGTAATTTTTTAGGAACGAGAAAGACAGAACTGAACCAGAGATGACGGCCGGTACTTTGCAGTAAAACAAACATAGTCGTACGTGACGGGCTGATATATGTCATCGATGGTGTGAAACCAAAGAGAGACGGACAAGGCATATGGCGGGATGCTAAGCGCCTACATCTAGCTATGAAAGGATGGGGATACGACTGGCTAGCTCTGAAATACAGGTAATTATCTTCTCACACTTTCAACTCTCTCTGATTGTGGTTGGTTGTGGTTAGGATCATTCGCGCGCACTGGAAGCCTGACCGCATGGCTGCCATTGCTAATGCGTACCACCTGCGATATCGGGAGTCCTTGGTGGCCCGCGTAAGGAAGGAAATCAAGTTCAATAGTGATTTAGAAGATTTGTTGGTTGCAGTCATGGAGTCTGGAACGCACTGAAGGCAGCAGCTTAATTCTGTGATGTTTGTTAATTTTGGCATTCACAGTTAACATCGTTACTGAAACATGTAAATTGATGTCAACATGCAGCACAGCACAGCTCCAGGTACTTACAGTCAACACGCCTCTCTCTCCCTCAAAACAAGGCCTGGATTTGATCATTCTTCAATTCCTCGCATCTATAGCAAAATTATGAAGTTGGCGGAGTTGCCAATGTTAGGTTCGACCACACTGCAGAAACTGGATGCCATATTGGAATATTGTCAGCTACTTCAGCCTCACTTACCTTTGCTCTTTGCACTGATCCCAAAAGCTTATATAAGTAATCGAACCTGTTACTGGGCCCTTGTCAGATGGATCCTATCGCCCTGCAAGCCACAAAGCAAAACTCGGCTTGTAAAAACTATGATAGGACATCCCCAAAATTCCAACTTGTGGATAGGCCCAACAAGAAAGGATGTTGTATCACTTGTCGAGATTCAGCAAATCCTCTCCTTCCTCCCACAGACTGCTGAACCATGTCGTAATTTTCCACATCACTGCTAGAAGATTTTAGCGATATGCATATTGCTGGCGCTAGTCATATCCCTACACCCAGAATCAAGAAGAATACTTCAGAAGGATCTTCTTGCTCTGCTGAACAGCATAAACAGGACATCGAATCGAGCGGAAAGATTCCAACCATCAACTTTAGAGAATGGGATATGCTTTGTGCACTTAAACCGCGAGTATCCGTGGACATGGAAACCAAGAACCTCATCCTGAGCACATATAAGCCATTTGTAACGGCGAGGAACAAGGTATGAATCCCAAATTGTTTTCAACTCGATACCGGGTCACGGAAGCACCAATTTTAAAGTGGCGGGATACTATGATCATGATCTCTCTGTCAATGAGAATACATCAAAATGGCCTAGGAATAGCTGAAGAAATGTAATGTATCAGAGGGATCAGAGCTTGAATACGAGTACATCGAAGTTCTACAGGAAGGTGGGAGGGTACATCGATAACTGATTCATGGAGACCCAGAGAAGTATACATGTTACTCTCAACAGAGGGACTAGGTTCGTTCTTGAAGTGTGTCGGCCTTTGTTAACGCGTTCTGCAAGAAGATGACGTCAGCTGGTTAGTGTGGCTTTGAAGTGACCACCTAGTATGCGGAGCCAAGCTGAGGAAGGGATCAAGACAGCTGCGTACACGGATTGAGGGCAAGGGATGGATATAGATGTCCCGGGAAGGTCAAAGGGTGTTAAATACATGCCTCAAAATACCTCAGCACAAGCAGGGGAGGGCTACCCACGAATGGCGAACATGCACCAGTCTTGGGAGCGACGAACTAGTTGGATGGATTGAGGGTGGATGATGTTTCCATGATGACAGTGTCGCGCCAGAGCAGAGATAGAGAAGGCTGGAATCTAACATTCTGGTGGCTATGGGTTCAGAGACATGTGAGTGTGGTTACTCGTTCCCAGGCATAGAAAATGGGCAAGTTCAACAACACGTAGCCTGGAAAGAGTCACGTGCGTATCAAAGAAAGCATTCATGCATTCATTCGCACTATTACTGTCAACTGAAATCAGTGACCTCACAAAATCGTTCAGCGCAGCGGCCTTCAGCGGCTGTCCCCTACTGGAATCAGGATAATATAGCTTAGTCAACTCTTCGCCGGAATAGTTTTCCGGGCCCATGGGTCGGTTGACAGACTTCTGGTTATCAAATAGTTGCTCTAACTGCAGACGGTCTATATCGCCAATGTGGCTTAATGGGAGAGCATTGTTTTCTACATCGATTAGGCTCGAATCCGTAAAGGTGTATGGTTTACGAGTCTAATACTGTCAGAAGCGGCAAGGTTCTTTTTCTCGATTCCAGGCTTTCACATTCGGCGACTGCGAGAGCGCGTTGGTGGTTGTCGACAAAGGTATCACGAGCAAGGGCGAGTTCTTTGAACCTTGAGAGTCAGGTTGACTGCTGCAGAGTCTCGAGATGGTGCGGATCATCGGTGTAGAATCAGTTGTTGAACGCGAAGCTTTTGTGCGGTTTTCTTTTCCTTTGGATTGCGTGTGGTGTCAAACAGTGGGTGGGCATGGTGATAGGCGATTGGACGTGTCGTTTTCGCGCTCCTTGCATTTGCACATGATGGATGTATCGGTCACGTGTTGATTGTGAGACATTGATGTGCGCACAAACAAAACTGGAAGCAGCATCTCGTCATTGCGGGGTCCTCTCATCCATTGGTACTCAACACACACAATGACAACAGGGCCACTGTAGCACAATGGTAGTGCGTTGCTTTCCTATTCTCGACAGGTAGGCAGAGGCTGCGAGTTCGAGTCTCGTCAGTGGTTGTATGATTTTTGTGGGCACGGACAGCAATCCAGCATCGTACTCGAGTGAAGGGCATGGTGATGACGTGGATACAAAGACAGGGCTTGTGGGGAACATGTCGCCGGAGTGTGCACTAGTGAGCATCATGGTCTTTGGCTCCAGCAATCACGGTTCCAATATCCCACTGCCCAGAACCAAGTTCAGGGGCGCGATCCCATGTCTCGCCGCTTCTCATTGTTAGGCTCCAACTTCAGCATCAAGCTCCATCATCTGCTACTTTCCACATGCGACTTTTGACTCAATGCCGCGTGCTCCCGCCCTTGGCTGCACCATCGTTAACCTCCTGGTTTTGATATCATATTCCCTCTAAAAAGGTGGGTGATACAATGATGGGGTGCGCAACTCCTTTTTCATCGAAGATACTTTCACTGGACCCCGGATTTGAGCGCTCATCTGAAACTATTCGGGACATCATTTTCCAAATGGGCCGATGCATGCTGTGTATTGCATCACCACTTCTTTCCATCCACCTCGCAATCATGAACAGTATCATATACATCATTTCCAACCATTTACTCTCAGATCAACATCACAATGGGTAACGTCCACATGCATAGCTGAGTCCTCCATTGCATCAAGTTCGCACTGCGACATATACAGTCCACAATTATGACTGGCGTTCATTGGTATACTGATTCCTATCTCCTCTTCTCGCTGACATAGAGCGTGAGGGTCAAGCATGTAAGTAGGTTCATACGTCGGAACGGTGTGCCCACAATGCGTTCATCACTGTCCTGAAGTTGACCCACGTCCCAGCTGCCAGTGATACCATCCATGGCTCCTATCAACACCAAGCCCGTTTCACCTATCCCACTTTATGACCGATGATAAGAGGACCACGACTGATACGCCTACGTGACAGCTGACCAGAGTTAGGCGCCAGCCTCCCAGGCGATCATGACTCAGATGGTGAATGATGCATTGATGTCCCCCTTATTCAAACACAGATGGAAAATAGGCCAAAGATAGGCGCCTGTACTTTCCCCCGAATCCCTTTCCTTTAATCATAACCTCAACCCAGACATTGTACCTCCACTCCATGATGATGGATCTTCCCAACGACATTGTCATCAAGATCCTCGCAGAGCTGAATTTCCACGGCTACCAGAAGCTTCGAGATGCACACCCAGCTTTTTCAGCTTATCTTGACCAGTCACCCACCTTGCAATACAAATTTGCGGCCGAGGTGGCTGGAGTCATAGATAACCCTCACAGTGCTATGACGCTCTCGGAGCGTATTGCTCTTCTTCTAGATAGGGAGGCGGCCTGGCCTGACCTACACGTCGATTTCGTAAAGGAAATACACGCCCCGAATGATAACTTGGGGCGTTACATTCTGAATAGTGATATCTTAGTGTTCGAAAACATGACTCACATCGCGTTACACCATGTAACTTTGCCCTCTGTGGAGACCGATGTCCCGACTTGGTCCACAATCCAGATGGATCCCAGCCTCACGATTGTAGGCAAGGGTTTCTCGGTCACCGAAAACAATTTAGCCGCAATCATCACTCAGTGTGTTGCTTCTTATTTCCCAATTTATTCCTCCTGACCAACTTCGTTCAGACGTGAAGCGCCCGATTACCCTAATCACCGCTTAACCGAAATCCACTTTCTACAACTTTCCACCGGCGAGCCGCACCCCCTGGCTCACAGCTCGGTCATAGTTCTAGAAAGATCGCTCTTTCCTGTGTCTGGTAGAGCCGAGATCGCTGATCATATTGTTGCTATTACCACCGAAACCGAGGATGGTTCGGGGAGGTTTTATGTTGTGGATTGGAAAAAGTCATTAACAAAACTGGTATGTAGCTGAATACCTGGTATGTTTGTTATCAATGACCGATCCCTCACAGAATGTGGCAATTTCGGAAGGTTACGATTATTGTTCTTCTATAACCTTCATCACGCCCTCAATGCTCGTCCTTCCCAACAACCTGAACGCTACGCTAGATATTTGCCTTATACCAACGTCCGAAAACGCCTCGACTTCGATGCCGGTAGTGCTATCCCTTGCCCTTCCTACTCTCGCTGAAGATTTCGACATCAGCAGCTTCTGGTGCTGTGCAAAGCCAGATCTCACTCCAAGCGGTACACCTTACTCTTCTCGACCTTTCCATGCCTCCACTGCTGCATCCATCATGGTATTTCGTACGGCTGCAATATCTGCTATCCGCGGGATTTACATCGGACCAACCATGCTTGTGCACCGATCCGTCCTGGTAGATGTCTGTAATACCTATATTGAGAGAGCCGCCCGTGAGGGGCTAGGCTGCCTGAGAGTGGATTGGGAAGCATGGGGACCCGACGTGACGCGATGGCTCCCTACGCCCAATCGGCCATCTATCATGAACGCTTCAGACCAACGCTGTTCCAGGACATTATTCGATGCTCAAGGGAACGAAGCTCAAGAGATCACGATTTTCGATTTTAATCCACTTCACATTCCTGAATCAAGTGTGGGGTCTCAGGAGGTAATCGAGTACGAGGAACAGAGGAAGGGTGTCTTCATCTGCAACACCACGACGTTCCTCCATGACGCAGCTTTCAAGGTTCCTGTGAAGAGCAGGCTCCCGTATATAGCTACGACGCATTATCTGACCCCTGATATGCAAGATTATGAATGGATAATTGATGAAGAACGGCTGATCGGAATCAAGGCGGGCATATTTCTGTTTCCTAACCTTGTAATGTTTTGTCTGATCGTAATGTCGTCCACTCAGCATTTGTCTACTGACAATGGTGTTCAGACCGAGATCAAAATTTGTCATATCGGTACATCCTTGAACCGCAATTTTGCGGGTCCAGTTACCGGCAGAATAAGGTGCGAAAGCAGAAGCAACATTGCGGTGCTTTAACAAGCGAAACGGAGCATTTGCTATCTTCCATGCGTCTTTGCAATGAAAAGTCAGCGACTCACTTGTAGGAATCTTTCAATGGAACACGGATGTATTTTCTCTAAGGTGAACCTGTCCAACCGTTGGCAAGAGGGCCAAATGGACGATAACCTCTCGTGATGCGATGACACACAACCACAAGCCTTATTAAGCGGTGAATGAGGTAAGTATGGGTGGCAAGTGCAGGTACAAGCGCAAGTGAGATATTCTTCGGCCTTGTGATTCTTGGTTGGAGGGAAGTGAAGCCTAGATTGTGAGGATGGGTTGTGAGAAACGACGCAATGATAGTACTCAGAACGTTGAAGGGTGTCGACAGCGGAGCAGACCTTTGAAGTGAGCACATGCAACGATGATCGACAAAATATCGGCGTCAACCGAATTATGGTCCCTTGCTCAGGCCAAACAAGCTTATCGGGGGTGCACTCATTTCCATACAGTTGATATAAACAGAGGAACAAGCTAAAACGATGTTGAAGTCAACAGACGTCAGCTATTACGTTGGCCATGATCCCTTTATGTGCCCACCCCTGACTTGACCAAGTTTGATTGCTATGGCATTCAAACCGCTCTTATCAAGGATATATACGTGAAATAGTTAGCACAATCTCTGTTATTCGAATACAATCCACAAACCTTGTCAAAGACATAATTTCCCTCACCATACCCATTGCCAACCGCGAACGAGGTGTCTTAGATTGTTTTCTCCTGTATTCCACTGATAGATAACCACGAAAAGAAATTGAACGACAAACATTTTCCTTAAGCAATCCTTCATTAGACGAAATCATGTAGAACATATCAGCCGTCTTGTAGCCCTCGCTTCGCGCAAGGAACGAACAGGTCGGTGTATGTCGCATGTTGTGATGATGGGTACTTTAGAGCTTTTGATGCAAGTGATACATACAGCACGCGGCTTACAACTCGCTAAATTGGATAAAAATGGCTTTAAACTGGGGCAGGACGCATATGGTAGACTCAGTTTGTGCTCAACAGACATACTTGAGAATCAACATGTGTTCTTTGAAACAGTTGAGGTTAGCTGGGTTTAGATGTTCAAGAATCGCCGTAATATCGCTTCCGCTCTTGGCAACAAATTTCCCATGGTGCGACCTCCATGCCATCCATGCTTCCTGGGCCTTCCTCTGACAGCCTACATATCTCCTCGCCCGTCCATAGCAGAACCTTCGAGGTAATGCTATTTCACTCGGCCTTGGTTTACCAATGAACTCGTGATTTCCACTACATACGCTCAAAACAGTTGTTGTCGGGAGACTCGCCCCCTCTGGGGGAGTCGAACGCACGACCTAAACATTTGCGCGCCACGCCAAAGCGCACATTATCACAATTTCCTTTTTTAGATTCAGCCACCCAAAATTGTTCGATCGGTACTATAACAGGTCTACGCAGCTACCGCAGCGTAGACGTATCATGGATTAATAGATTAGGAAAACCCTCAGTTCTATACACCGAACTGAGGGTGAGTTACTTGATTTCAATTTGATAAATTCCTCATACTGATTAAACTGTAGAATACATATTTAACAGTTTACAACAGTCAACCTTCGTCGTATCCTGACGTACGACACTCCCAAAACACGCAGGAGTACTTTTCAGCCAAGCGGCTAATTCATAAGCGCATGCCGTCTTGCACCCCTCCTGCACAGCACCCTCGACTAACCCAAACCCTAAGCGATCCTCATGACATCATTTGATAGCGCTGAACTACTGAGTCAGACTAACCTTGGAAGAACGCACGCTGGATGCCTCGTCACGACTCACTAATTACTTACGGCGCAGCTACCTATCGCAACTGCTTAGTTAGTGTACATCAGTAAATCCAGATACACGATGTCCGTCTCTTCGTCGATGTGCTCCGTCATCCTGGGTCATTGTCATCACTGTCTTCATTCTCCGCATCTTTGCCTTCTTCCTCATCTTTATCTTCGTCATCCAATGCAATAGATATCGCTTCTCTTGGTTCATTGGCCAATTGAGATGACTTGATGCCCCCCACTTCTACAAATTTAACGTCCTTTTTCGGCTCTGTGCCTTCGAGGTCAGCATTG